TTTTAAAAATCTGTCTAATTACATTCATCTTCTACTGCATTTAATAACTGGTCCAAGTCAACTTACAGGACAAAATGCGAACAGAGGCCAAGTGGTTTGGTCCACTTCAGTACACTTATGCCAGTTAGGTAAAAGAAAAAGAAATGGCTAATCTACTGTGTACATCCATTTATATAAAGTTCAAAACTGGTAAAACTAACTTATATTATTAGAATTCAGGAAAATAATTACTTTTGGGGAGGTAGTAGTTGGAAGGAGCCCTGAGGAGGGTTTCTGTGGAGCTTGTAATGGTCTGTTTCTTGATATAGGTGCTGGTTGCACAGGAGTATTCTGAAAATTCCTTGAGCTGTTCATCTACAGTAGGTGCACATTTAAGAATGCTATTCTTCACTAAAATTTACAGAGAAAAAAACTATATGAAAGCCAAAGAGGGCACTGACAAAAATATTTTGGCTAAAATTCTCAGCCTGGTTGCTATCTTAGCCAGTAAAGGCTGTCTTAGACCATAACCACTGCAGAATGTACTGACTCAAGTATGATTTTCCTGCATCTCTGTAGGGGAAAAAAGCCATATGTGAATTATAGATTATTTCCTAAGTGCAATAGAAAGCTATCACATGGTTAGTTGCCAAATATCCATGTGAAGGATAAACACATTTTAGACAATTCTATTTCCCACTGCCATATAGTACATACCTAAAGAGGAAGCTGGCAAACCTGGTCCTACTAACCAAACTGCATTTTATGGCAGAAGAATCTGACTTCAGCTGTTAAACAAAGGTAGCTCTGAAACAAGCACAGCTGTTAGCCATTGAGAGGGTATAAGTTCCCTGGCATAAACTCCAATGTAGTTTAGTGTGGGATGGCTATCTGTATGAACTCAGCAAAGTCACTTCACATCTCAGGGTCAGTTTCCTCTCTGATGGAATAAAGGTACTGTATCACCTCAGAGAGCAGTCTAAGCATCAGTGAATTACTATCTTATTACCTAGCTGGAAAGCAATTAATGGCAGTGATTGGAAGCATAAAAGATTACCTAAGGACATTAAATAAACTGCCCAAACATATCTGGAGTGTTTCCCCAGGGTTATACAGGGAGAGGGTATTTGACTATAGATAAGCAAATCAATCAAATCAACAAACCTTCCCTATGAGGGAATGCAAAGAAGCAGAGAATTGCCCTGTTTTCTTTAGGGCCACAATCCTTTGGCTTCATTGTGACAGGAATTTGGTGTTTTCTTACCATTCTACATGGAGCCCCTTTTGATTACAGAATGGAACCACTGATAAAAAGAGCTGAATGCCAAATTTAGAGCAAGTCAACCATTTGTTTGTTCCCCATCACTACACAGGAAACTGCTTAGCAACATTTGTAAGTGCCGTCTCCCAATTTCAAGTGAATTAATGAAGGCATTTAGTCAAGGGAGTGATCAGTCATGTTGAATTCACGTGGGCTTTAGAGTACTCTATAATGACACTTGCTAAATCTGGAGGAGGTATGGGGCGACACACACCAAATGGGCAATTCAGAAAGACATCTGGAAGTTCTGCATGGAATCCACTATGCATTACCCAGCAGGAAGTGTGGAGTTTTCAATATTAGCTAATTGCATAAATGTCTGTTCACCAGGGCACATGAAAATAGCATCTTGTTCTTCTATATGCCTGATTTTAATCCCTTACACTGACCATTCAAATTAGTCATAATGTAGAATCCATGATCATCATTACTTCACCCAGAGCATTTCTTAAATACTCACTATAAGTAAACACTGTACTAGATGCTTTCGTATATAATCTCAATTAATACTTACAACAACTTTCTGAGGGAAAAATTATTATCCTCATTTTACAGATGAGGAAACTGAGACACCAAGAATGTCAGGACTCAAGCCCAAAGCTATCTGAGTGAAAGCCTGTGCTCCTTCCATTAACTTTTCCTGGTCTGCAGTATACAGGAAAGAAGTTCATAGCCATGTGTCTATTTGGTTCTTAGCAACAATTCTCCATGGAGGGGACAATACATAAGTATAACACTAATGGTTTTAGAACAAGAAAAAAATAGTGGCAGAAAAAAAAGAAAACCAAAAATCTAAATTTGAAAAATTGGTTTCAAAGTAATGTATTGGTGCAGTTGAACTGTTACAAAAAAGAAGCAAGAATGTACCAGGTATTTTCAAGAATCAGTTGTAAGTTCTGACATCCAAAAAGGCAGTTGTGATCATTAATGACTCCTCTACTGTGAGTACTGAGTCATGGACTTGGTTTATATTCTCTGTTCCCACAACAGTTTACCCTATGATATTGGTTCAGTTTAATCCATCAGTTAAATAAGAATAACTAATAAAATGAATTTACCTCACGGATATGTTTTAAAGAACAAATAATCTTTAAACAACAACACTTTGAGATCTTGTAAGAAAAGCCACTGCAGGCAATGCATGACTGTCAATGCAGAGGAATCACTCCTAAATGGAAAACATAAAATCCCAGATAATCATCTCAGCTGACCTAGACATGGGGTCCTGAGGGGCTATATGCCCTTCTAAGAGCAAGAAATGGCTCCTATACTACATAATCAAGATCCAACCAGAGAAATCTGAGGGGTGGTAACCAGCCAAGACAATGCTCCAATGACTCATTCATTCACTCATCCATTCAACAAATATAAATTGAGCACCTTTTTTGTACTAGAATTGAATTTTTCTCAGTTTTCTATGGATTCAAGAATAAAGCTTGGCCAGCCCAGGACTGGTGCAGTGGGCCCTGTGCCGGATCTCCAGCCTGGGGCCCAATGTTCAATGCAGGAGGGGACCTTGGAAAAGGAAATCTGAAAATCCTCCTCAAGCTTCATACTACTGTGAAGTCTACCTCCCAGCTAGATACAGTTCTTTCATTCCCTCCAGATGCCCCTGAACACATAATCACACACACACACACACACACACACACACACACACACACACCACAACATACACAATAGTTCTGTCCTGCTGTATTAGCTTATACTTATTTAAATATGTTCCTTTGTATGATATGACAACCTGATATATTGTTTTTTTCTGCCTTTCATTAGGCTGCAATAAACAGCTCTACTCCCTAGGAAGAAACCTACTATAAACTGATTTGTGGCCGGTCCTCCTCAGGAGCTCCTGCCAAGCTGGTAGGAAGCTTCCCGGGTGACTCCATCTTAGTTGGATTGCCTGCAGAGCCTAACATTATACTTAGGGTGAAGCTTGAGGAAGGGGGCTCTAAAACAGCTGAGGAGGGCCTAGGGGACAGGGAGTATACTGAAGAGCATACTATGTCCTGAGGAAAGGGAAAGCTCAGAAGTATCTAAGGTGCACACACAAACATAGAATATCTGTAGATACAAAAAGTAAAGAGCATATTCATGTATTTATAATCTAACACCAAACTACTACCACCAAGACAAAAATACAGTGACATGTCCCTCCCACCCAGTCCCTCTGCCTTTGGTGGCTTCTGCTACGCCACCTCCCCACCCCTCCCCAATGCAGGCTGCCCTGGATACTCATTTTGACCTGACTTCAATTCCATCCGGTCAAACATGCTGGGAAGAGGGGAGGGGAGGAGAAATACATTAGGATTTGCCACTGGGGCTAGACCTAGACCCATGAGTCCCAGCCACACTTCCCCACCCCCAAGGTGATCCTGTGGTAAGAGAGACATGGAAAGCACCAGCTCAAACCCTGACAGAAAAGCCAGAGATGCCTGCAAACATTTTCTGAGCATCTACAATTTGACAGTCTAGATCCGTTTGCAGCTCCCATTGAGGAGCCCTAGAAGGGTCCTCAGTGGGCTCCAGGAGAGCTATTTATTACTGTCAACGTGTGAGGCGATTCCTCCTTGCCTCAGCCCTAATGGGGAGTCCCTCTTGCCTCTTTCCTCTCTCTCTTCCTGTTCCTCCCCTAAGCTCCTTTCCTTCTTGACCTTGAGAGCCCAGTAATGGGTTCTCTCCCATTACTGGCATTCTGGCAAAGGCAGTGAGAAGCAGGTTCTCTTCAGCTGGGGTGGGGAAATAAAGAGGTAAAGTGACAGGGGGAGAGGCAAGAGACCGAAAGTGCTGGAAACAGCCCCTGCCATCTCCTCACACTCTACAGCACAGGAACAAGTCCGTTTTATGCCCAGCTGGGGAGAGCAGCCCAGCCCCCAGGTTGCAGAGGAAATGTTTTGGCCAGTCACCTTCGGTGATTCCAACACTGCAATGGAGAAAACCTGCAGAGGACCTGGCCCTGAGCATCCACAGGAAGCAAGGTGGGGATAATGGATTATTTCGCAGGAGCAAATAGGCAGACTTTGCAGATTTTGCAGATTAGTCCACGAACAAAACAAAACAAAACAAAACATTCAGGTCTCCCTTGAGTGAAGGGGAAGAAGCAGGCCCTCAGTGACCTTTATTTGGACCAAGACTGCTTTGTTTCAAGGATACAGACACACACGCCCAGGTGGTTAGGAGATAGCTATCTCCTGGAAAGAGGAATGCCTTTCCCGCCCCTAAAAATCACTGGATTTAGTAGCTCTTTCTCCCCCAGCTCTTTTCCTCCTTCCCCTTTGTTCTTCCCGAAAATAAATAAACTCTCCAGCTTGTTAAACTCTTAGCTCCAAGGGAAGGAATCAGACTTGCAAACTGGTTATCCAGACTTTGGATGTGCTACAAGAAGGGAAAGGTTCCTGCCAATGACAGGTGCTACGCAGGTCTCAGCATTCTGGTTTACTTGGGGGTGGGGGTGAACTCGCTGGCAACCCCTCCCCCAACTGGTGCTCAGTAGCTCCAAAACAGTTGCTCCCGCCATAGCCCACATCGCTCTTGTCCAGCTGCTCCTTCAAAGCTGCAAAGTTGTTGGGGAGAAGGGAAGGTCCAGGGTGGGGGTAGGGGTGAAGGGGATGGGGCCACGGACAGGGAAGACAAGGGGAGAGGTACTCGCAATCCCTCGGGGGGGGGGGTGCGTCCCTCATCACCCGTTTGTCTCACTTACCATCTCACTGTAGGCATCCTTACTGAGCCTGGGGGTCAACTTGATAGTTCCCATGAAAACAAAGAAGAGTCCCAGGGCCACTGAGAGGGCCACGACCGTTACGGTTCTCGGGGACGCCATGGGGTCACCAAGGCAGGTCCCAACCAATCCTTCGGCTTTGCGCACCCTGTCTAAGGCGCAGGCAGTTAGCACAGGGAGAGCTAGAGGGACGGAGAACTAGAGGGACGCTGCGGAGGCAGCAGGCAGGGCAGCTAGAATGACAAAGGGAGAGGAGGGAGCTGGAGAGAAAAATTGAGAGATCGAGATTCAACCTCTCTCACTACAACAGTCGCTGGGTCCTAATGCCCTACGCTTCGTCCTCACTGGCCAAAAGCACAGTCTGGAAGTTAAATGGAGCTTTCAACAGAGGTGGAAACTTAAAATGCGGAAGTCATAAAATGGGGAAAAGGTAGGTTACCCTTTGAGTTCAGCCACTGGGCTGCCTACTGGAATGAGGAAATCAGGGAAAGACCTCCTTTCCACCACTTCTCACCAGGAGCACTTTTCATCTCTATAATAGTCCTCTAGTTATTCACTCCTGTTTTTCAACCTCCCTCCTTCTCTCCTCTTTTCCTTTCCCTCAGTCAAAAACATTAGTCCTTAGTTTGCTGGTTTCTGCAGTGGGCAACATTCAAAGATAAATCTGCAAAGTTGTCAGGTTCCATTGCTGCCGAAGAATGCTTTATCTTTCTCTTCCTCAAAAACCTTTAATGGTTCCCATTGCCCAGTGGTTAACTCCATGGTTTTAAATTAGACATTTGAGGCCCTCCACATTTTGACCCCTGCCTCTCTTTGGAGATTTATCTTCCAATAGCTCCATGCCACCCCTTATATCCTATATGCTCATGGCTCCATAAACCTGAGCTTTCCCACCTCTCACTACTCCATCACTCTTAATTAACATTCAAACTTCCTCAATGTCACTTTCTCCATAGAGCCCTTTCCTGATCCATTCCCAGCTGGATATGTTTTCTCCATCCTCTGATTTCCTGCACCAATAACCAATGTCTGTTGACTGTTTACTAAGTGCTAGACACTGCCCTTTACTTGTATTAACTCATTCAGTCTTTTATTTATTTATTTATTTACTTACTTATTTACTTATTTATTTATTTAGAGAGGGAGAGCGAGAGAGAGAGAATCCCAAGTAGGCTCTATGCTGTCCTCAGTCCCACAAATCGTGGAATTATGCCACAAACTGTGAACTGCAGAATCATGACCTGAGTCGAGATCAAGAGTCAGAGGCTTCACCAACTGAGCCACTCAGAGACCCCAACTCATTAACTCTTTACAGCAACACTGTGAGCTAGGTATGAGCTCCCATTTTATGGATGGACCATTGAGGCACAGGGAAGTTAAATAACTTGCCCAAGAGTATATACTAGTAAGTGGAGAGCCAGAATTCAAACCTAGGCAGTAATTTCCAGAGTCCAGGTTCTTAACCATTGCTCTATTGCCTCTCTATATACTTTCTACTTTGCATTGTAAGTATAGCACTGACCTGATTCTGCTTTGCCCTGCGATTACACATACACACACACACACACACACACACACACACTCACACATGCACGCACATACACACCCTTTTGATGAGGCAGTAAGAGAGAGTTCACTAAGAGAGAGTCTGGAGTCAGGTCCAGAAGGTCCAGGGTTTAAATGCCAGCTCTGCCACTAACTCTGTGAACTTGGATAAGTCACCCAACTTCCATTTCCACATTTATAAAATGTCTGTGAAAATTCTACCTCAAAAGTTTGTTGTGAGAATTCAATATAAGTAAATTGCCTAGCATAGTGTCTAACATATAATGATGTAGTTCCTTTTTTAACTTCCTTTGCTTTCCTAATCTACTACTCCACAGTTAGTTTAGATTATAAGCATTTCAAGGTAGGAACAACTTCTATATATTCCCCATAGTACCTAGAACAACGCCAGATCCTAATAAATGTTCCTTGCCAAAACAATAACAAAAACAACAACAACAACAAAAAACTGATGAGGGTCTCCTGGGTGACTCAGTAAGTTAGGCGGCTGACTTCAGCTCAGGTCATGATCTTACAGCTCCTGGATTCGAGCCCTGCATTGGGCTCTATGCTGACAGCTCAGAGCCTGGAGCTTGCTTCAGATTCTGTGTCACCCTCTCTATCTGCTCCTCCCCCGCTCATGCTCTGTCTCTATCTCTCAAAAATAAATAAACATTAAAATTTTTTTAAAACTTACGAATTTGAATGTACATATCCCTGGGAGTGGTAACACTTTAGGTTTAGGAATCATTTACATCTTATTATGGAAGAATTTCAATCTTTTGTGATTATGATTTGACCTATAAATTAGTGACTACAATGTACACACAAGTGAATTAGGCACTATACACATATGCAGATAAATGAGGCATAGTCCCTGCTTCCAAGGAGTTTGTTGTATAGTAGAGAGTAGGATTTGTTAGAGATGAGTAAAAGGAGCACTTAGCGAAGCCCATTCACATAGTTAAGCAACTGATAAAAATAAAATATATATATATATATACACACATACCATTTTCCTTTCAAATTACATGATAACAGAAATAATAATATTCATTATAAAAATCTTTTTAATATTTATTCATTTTTGAGAGAGACAGAGAGTGAGTGGGGGAGGAGCAGAGAGAGAGGGAGACACAGAATCAGAAGCAGGCTCCAGGCTCTGAGCTGTCAGCATAGAGCCTGATGCAGGGCTCGAACTCACAGACTGCAAGATCATGACCTGAGCTGAGGTCAGATGCCCAACCAACTATGCCACCCAGGCGCCCCAGTAATATTCATTATAAAATGTGTAAAATACTGAATAGTAGAAAATATAAGGAAAAAACAACTCATGATCCCAACGTGCAGAGATGAACATTGTTATTGTGATTGGTCAATATTCTAATTGATCTTTTTCCTAAATCCCTCTCTATGTACAAAATATATATAAATAGTTTTTCAAAATTTGATCCTACTACAGAGTCAGTTTTATACTCTGCTTTTTTTTTCACGTGTTAGCATTTCTCCATATCATTAAACTATCTTCAGAAACAAAATCCTTTCAAAATGACTGTATAATACTTCAGCATTATTTGAATGTACTGTAGTTCATATAACTATTCTTCTATTGCTAGATATTATTGGTTTTATGGTGTTTGCTTCTGCAAACAAAGATGCAATGCACCTACTGGTGGGAATGCAAACTGGTGCAGCCACTCTGGAAAACAGTATGGAGGTTCCTCAAAAAATCAAAAATAGAACTACCCTATGAACCTGCGATTGTACTACTAGGTATTTATCCAAGGGATACAGGTGTGCTGTTTCAAAGGGACACATGCACCCCAATATTTATAGCTGCACTATCAACAATAGCCAAAATATGGAAAGAACCCAAATGTCCATCGATGGATGAATGGATAAAGAAGCTATATATATACACACACAATGGATTATTACTCAGCAATAAAAAAGAATGAAATCTTGCCATTTGCAAATAGGTGGATGGAACTGGAGGGTATTATTAGTCAGAGAAAGACAAATACCGTATGACTTTACTCTTATGAGTACTTTACAATACGAAACAGATGAACATAAGGGAAGGGAAGCAAAAATAATATAAAAACAGGGAGGGGGACAAAAACATAAGAGACTCTTAAATATGGAGAACAAACAGAGGGTTACTGGAGGGGTTGTGGTGGGGGGATGGGCTAAAGGGGTAAGGGGTTTAAGGAATCTACTCCAGAAATCATTATTGCACTATATGCTAACTTGAATGTAAATTTAAAAAAATAAATTAAATTTTAAAAAATGCGATGCACATCTTTGTATATCAATTTTTGTCTAAATTCCTGAATTTTTCCTTAGGATAAGTTTCTAGAAGTTGGATGGATCAAAATTATGAACTTTTTATATTTATATATTCTTTTTTTTAGTTTTCTTTTTATTTTGAGAGAGAAATTGAGAGCATGAGCAGGGGAGGGGCAGAGAGAGAGGGAGAGAGAGAATCCCAAGCAGGCTCTCACAGAGCCCCATGTGGGTGGCCCCGTCTCACAAACCCTGAGATCATGACCCAAGCCAATCAAGAGTCAGATGCTCAACCAACTGAGCCACCCAGTTGCCCCATGCATATTCATTTTATATGACCAAATTTAATAATAGCTAACATTTACTTATCACCTAGAGGATGCCAAACACTATGCTAAGTGATTTGCATGTAATTTGAGATTAGTACTATTAATTCCCTCCATTTTATGAATGAGAAAACAGAGCAAGGAGTGATGCAGCTCCCCAGGTCCAGAGCTGGGCTGCCATCTCTTGGGGTATTCAACTTAAACCTGTGTTGTTCCTCCATTTGCTGTTGCTGTTCTTTTAAATCATGTAAAGAGATGAATGTTTAAAAGACTCTTGACACATATTACTTATGTGTTTTCCAAAAAGCAAATTACCTTCCCATCAATAGTATAGAATATGTACACATCACCACATCAGATCTGCCTTGAGAATTTCAGTGTTTTTCATCTTCACCAATTTCATTAATAAAAATTTGTATTTTGTGCATTATTAGTGTGTTAGAACATTTTTTCATAAATTCGTTGGTCATATGGATATCTTCTGTTTATGTCCTTTTCCATTTTTATTTTGAGTATTGTGGTGTTAAAAAACACCACATAAGAACGCTTCATATCATACTAGCATCAATTATGTTTTAAATATTTTTGCCAGATTGTGTTTGCCAATAAATCTGCTGGAGTCAAATCTAGCAATACTTTTATTTATGACTTTTCCATTGATTTTACACTTACAAAATTCTTCCGAATCTAGCAGCCCCTGGGTGGCTCAGTTGGTTGAGCATCCAACTCTTGATTTCAACTCAGGTCAGGATGCCATGATTGTGGGATATAGCCTCATGTGGAGCCCCACATCAGACACGCTAAGCATGGAGACTGGTTGGTATTCTCTCTCTCTCTCTGTCTCGCTCTCGCTCTCCCTCCCTCTGCTGCCCCTATGCCCCTCTGTCTTGCCACTAGCCACTAACTCAGGCTCTGTCTCTCTCAAATTAAAAAAAAAGAAGAAAATTCATCCCAATCTCAAAATTTAACATTTGCTTATACTTTTTATTTATAAATATTTTTATTTGTCCTTTTTAAATTTTTTTGATGTTTTATTTATTTCTGAGAGAGAGAGAGACAGCATGAGCAGGACGGTCAGATAGAGAGGGAGATACAGAATCTGAAGCAGGCTCCAGGCTCTGAGCTATCTGTCAGCACAG